ATATATAATATAAATATGAAAATATAAAATAAGAAAAGTTCAAAATAATGTATGATTATTATACATATATTAAAACTTATAATAATTTGATAACAATTAATTATATTCATATGTATACAAATTAAAGCTAGAAGTTAATCTGCACACGAACAAAAAGCACATTTACGAAATTTTTTTAATAAATAAAAAAATAAACATAAATAAAAAAAATGAATGAAAAACAGCAAATGAATGAAAAACAATTGTTTCACAAACGAATGTAATATGACGTTCACAAAAAAAGATGAGAACAAAATATAATAAAATATAGATTATTTTAAATATTCTAAATACTTCTCCACAAATTTCCTAACATTAATATTTCATAGATGGTTCAAGTAACCAATGGGTTATTACATAATAGTAAAATATTTTTAATTTCACCGTGACTGAAAACCACTATAAATATATAAAACTAATATCTTACACTTACATAATAATATCCTATAAGTTATTGTTAGAATGCTTCATCATAATAACTTTCATCATATTTAGGGTCTTCCAGCAACAGTAGCAATCTGAGGGATAGTACTTGTGATGTGATCTGAGTGTTGTGGTTGTACTGTTAAGCAAGTAAAAAATTATCATTATTGTGACTTAAAGAATAACTATCATTGTTATTTGAACCATCGGCATACAACAAACCTGTATGTGGAATAGGTAGGTATTTGTGCCATTTACTGTTCAATATTAATTTTTTTTAAATATATATATACAAAATAAATTAAATATAAGTTTCTAAAAATTTTTTATAAGTATGGATTTCAAGCATTAAAAAAATATTAATATTTCAATTATTATAAATTTTTGAACTAGTACACACACCATGCACTTTTTTAACAATTCTTATTAAAAAGTAAAAAAAATTGAAAATAATATAATTAACTGAAAATAATAATACATTGAATAACATTGCAAATTAATATCTTATAAAAATTAATTCAATATATTTTTTATTTTTTTCATAAATTAATTTGATTACTCATAATATATATATATATATATTGATAATTAATATAGATTTTATAATTTATTTTAAAAATAAAATTTCAATGTATTAAACAAATATTTCTCAGTAAATAATTAAACTTAAAAATTAATTATTTAACTTATTTAATTCACATATAATACATAGTACAAATAGTACATAGATATTATTACTATTAATAATACAGTTCCGAACATTTTATATACTTTTATACTCAGTTATTTAAAACTATAATTACTTTAACAACTTTGAAATAATACACATACCTAACAAATAACCTAAATACTGTCCTAATTTTAGTTACATACAAGGGAAAAATGAAATACATAAATGAGGAGCAATTACCATTGAACATATAGGTATTGTGAAAAAAATGATGTCACAATTACCTGGTGCTTCAATGATGAACTCTGCCTTATCTATACATTCAAAATACATATTTCAGGAGAACAAGCCTTGAGTTAGGTACATTGTGCAATATAGCTAAGTAGCAAAAAAGGTTTTCAAGGTATATGGCAAACCTGGTGCGAAGGGCCAACCCGAATCTCGCCCTGGGTGCCGGCAGACATCTCCTCCTCCTCCGAAGCTCCACCGTCTTTCTCCAGTGTTTCAAGTGGCTTCTATCTTGGATTTTCAGTAAATTCCTATCATCCACCCCCTGAACTATATATATATTCATTCTATCAGTATATTTATAATAACTGTTTAAGAAAAAATACTGCTAACATGCTTCTTTTTTTATTAATGACCCTTTTTTTTTACTATGATGTCAGTTATTATGGCATTATATTTTATTTATTTTCTAATATATAATCTTTCCTATTCAAATAATATTTAATTTTTATAAATAATACCTTTAATATTAAAATAAATTTTTATAATAATATACAATCACTTTCTTTTGAAGCACCTTGTTTTATATACCTTCAGTTTTATATATCCCTAAATGGCTTTATTTTTATAACTAAAATTAAAATATTTCTAAATTGCGAACTATAGAATATAAATATGGAAAGTATCCTATAAAAGGAATAAAACATTAAATATTTATTATATTTATTATAATAAATATAACTTGTGTCATCAATACCTCAATAACTTAATTTCACAATATAAATAAAATTAATGAAAATATATATGAACAAAATCCTGAAAAAATCAATTGTTTTATTTATATAATTACTAAAAAAAATTATATCTATGAATTCTTACAATTTCATAATTTATAAAGGAAACTAAATCCTCTTTTAACAACCCATCTTAACAATTTAACAATTACATATATCTACTTTCTTCAAGTGGTCTTGAGTCACGGTGAAAGCGGTAGTCAATATTTAAGTAAGTTTTATGGATTAAAACGATTTATCATTATCCTAACGCAATTAAAGCGTATCAAAGAGCGATGGACATCATAAAACTTTTCATTGACTCATCGATGTGCAATGTGAAGATACAGAAAAAAAATAGCTATTTACACAATTTCGTCATGTATGCAGAAAATATGAAAAGAAAGATATACCTATGAGATTGTGAACGATAAGTCAATTATTGAATCGTTTTGATGGATCGCAAATTATTTACTAGGATTTTTCGTCACATCGCACCTTGTCTTGGCGGAATTCTGGGGAGTCGTTAAAATAAAGTGGAAAGCCATAAAATTTCAAGGCAAACTCACCCGTGATAAATGTTTCAACGTTGTGCTCGCATTGTTCCTCCAAACGCGACTTGTTTTCACACGTACGCGTTATACACAAGCTCAATTATACTAATAGACAACTTATAGAAATTAAACAATTCACTACGAATTAACCATTGATTACTACAGAATATCTTACACAAATCAGTAGCCACAACACCCAAACGCAGCCATCTTGTACTGCGTTTTGTTTCGTTTTTCTTCTGTAGGGGTGCGTTCCGATTCCGTGCATTCCTCTACTTCTTTTTCATGATTTTTTCTGGTGGCAATTTGAAAATTTAAAAAGCCAATAATAAATTATATTTTATTTTAAAAATTTCTCAATAGAAAATTATTATTAAAAAAATAGAAAGATTTATGAATATTCAATTCATATAATATTGATATTTTAATTTGAATATATGATTCAAAATTTTTCGAAGATTTTTCATATAAATTTTAAAATTATAGAAATTTAAGATTATAGAAATAAAAAATTAACAAATATTATCTTACATACATTTTTGTAATTGTTTTATATATT